GGAGGGGGAGTGGGAGGGGGAGGGGAGGAGGGGGAGGGGGAGGCGAGGAGGAGGAGAGGAGGAGGAGGAGTAGGAGGAGGAGGAGAGGAGGATGAGGAGGAGGAGGAGGAGGAGGAGGAGGAGAGTAGGAGGCGGGCGGAGGCGGAGGGCGGAGGCGGAGGGGGAGGAGGGGGAGGGGAGGGGAGGGGAGGAGGAGAAGGAGGAGGAGGAGGCGGAGGAGGAGGAGGACGTGGCTCGAATCGCGCCCGGGTCGCGCCCCCCCCGCGCGCGCAGGGCAACGGCGGGCGGCGGCGCTTGCCTCCTCCTCCTCCTCTCCTTCCTCCTGCCTCTCTCCTCCTCCTCCTCCTCCTTCCTCCTCCTCTCCTCCTCCTCTCCTCCTCCTCCTCCTCCTCCCCTGTCCTCCTCCTCCTCCTCCTCCTCCTCCTCCTCCTCCTCCTCCTCCTCCTCCTCCTCCTCTACTCCTCCTCCTCCTCCTCTCTCCTCCTCCTCCCATCTCCTCCTCCTCCCCCCCCCTCCTGCGCCGCGCGCGGGTCTCCCGCGGCCGGAGCGCTGCAAGTGCTTATTAGATCCATAGCCAGCCTACAGCTTGAATAGAGTAGAGAAAACTGCGATCATATCTTTAAAAAAATTAACAGAGTACAGAGATTTTTGGTCCCAGCTGTGGTAGCAGACTGATCCCAGACATCTAGATACTTGGGAGGTGTCCGCCCGCGCGCGTGTCCCTGGGCCGCCCAGCCGCCAGAGGACCTGCTCGCCCTCTCGGAAGCCCGAGGCTTGGCAGCTTGCGCCCCCTGAGATCCGACGCTCCAAGAGAAAATTGGAGCAGGCGGTTTTTGGCCGTTTTCGGCCGCTGGGGGCCCTCGCCGGGCTTCGGGGGCTTCCAAAAACGACCCAGGACAAAAACCAGCCCCAGAGAAGTGGTCCGGACCTCTGGGTCACACTCGCCCTACCGTTGCCCCAGTCCGTTCCTGCGCATCCGCACAATCCGCACGCGCCCAGGAGGGCTCCCAGCCAAGCAGCAGCCTCCTCCTCCTCCTCCTCCTCCTCCTCCTCCTCCTCCTCCTCCTCCTCCTGCTCCTGCTCCTCCTCCTCCTCCTCCTCCTCCTCCTCCTCCTCCTCCTCCTCCTCCTCCTCCCTCCTCCTACCTCCTCCTCCCCTGCCTCCTCTCCTCCTCCTCCTCTCTCCTCCTCCTCCCCCTCCCTCCTCCTCCTGCTCCTCCTGCCCCTCCTGCTCCCCTGCTCCTCCTCCTCCTGAATGCCTGGGCGAATGGCGGTGCCTGGGCGAATGGCCCTCCCCGATATATCAGAAGTGGGGAGGGGGAGAGAGGCGCACAACTCGGGCCCGGCAGGCCCCCGGGCCTTGTGGGCCGGCCCCCAAAGGGCCCCGCTCAGGGGGTTCCCAAGGGTTGGGTCGGGCCTGCCCCCCATACAGGGGGGTTCTGGGCGAAAATTAAAAATAAAATTGAAAATATTCAAAAACTACCCCCCAACTTGTAAAAAATAATGGGAAAAACAAACAAACAAAAAAACGCCCCCAGCCTATGTTTGGACTTTGGGAATATCCCCCTGTAGCGGGACAGGCCCGACTTAACCCAAGGGGCCACTTTTCTGCGGCCCCTGCTGTCCCCCCCCAAGTATGAAGGGGCCCTGGGACACGCAAAGACATACACACAGATAACAGGATTCCCCATCCTTCCCTATAGCTTCTGGGTTCGGGCCTCCCCCCCATCTTCCCACGTTTTCCCACTCTTTCCCGGGAGTCGACGACAAATTGTGTCTGTGTGACTTTTCCCCCCTGGGGGAAGGGAGGGCGACGCAGCCAGGCGGGGCACCTGCGCGGGCGCAGGACGATCGCCGGATCACGGGGGAACTTGCGCGGGCACCGACGCGGGCACATCGCATGCGGGGGCACACTTACGCGGAAAGCCGTAGCGCTGGATTCCGATTTCCGCCGTCGCTCATCTCGACCCCTACCGACGGCCGACCCTGAGGCTCCTATGACGATAAATGTTCGTCTCGTACGAGCACCTTTATTGCCAAATTCAACATCGTTTTTCCTGGATCGACCTCTCGACATCTACTGCTCCGAAATTGCACATTTCGATTTCGCCCTATCCTAATCGCGCTGTCAAAATTGCAAACACATAGGAAGTGGAACGATGTGAACACACAGAGGTGGTCAGCTGAACCAATAAATGGCTGAGGTCGGTCCTGACAAGGACGGGGGGCCGGCCGGGAAACGCCGGGTGCCGGGTGCCGGGTGCCGGGTGCCGGGTGCCGGGTCGCCGGGTCGCCGGGTCGCCGGGTCGCCGGGTGCCGGGTGCCGGGTGCCGGGTGCCGGGTGCCGGGTGCCGGGTCGCCGGGTCGCCGGGTCGCCGGATGGCCGGGTCGCCGGGTCGCCGGGTGCCGGGTGCCGGGTGCCGGGTGCCGGGTCGCCGGGTCGCCGGGTGCCGGGTGCCGGGTGCCGGGTGCCGGGTTGCCGGGTCGCCGGGTCGCCGGGTCGCCTAGTGCCGGGTGCCGGGTGCCGGGTGCCGGGTGCCGGGTGCCGGGTGCTGGGTGCCGGGTGCCGGTCGCCGGGTCGCGGGGTCGCCGGGTCGCCGGGTGCCGGGTGCCGGGTGCCGGGGTCCGGGGTCCCGGGTCGCCGGGTCGCCGGGTCGCCGGGTCGCCGGGTCGCGGGTCGCCGGCTGCCGGGTGCCGGGTGCGAGGTGCCGGGTCGCCGGGTCGCCGGGTGCCGGGTGCCGGGTAGCCGGGTCGCCGGGTGCCGGGCGCTGGATGCCGGGTGCTGGGTGCCGGGTGCCGGGTTGCCGGGCCGGGTGCCGGGTCGCGGGGTGCTGGGTCGCCGGGTCGCCGGGCCGGGTCGCCGGGTGCCGGGTCGCCGGGTCGCGGGGCGCACGGACACGCTATCGCTCCAACGTTGGCCTCCTGTCCTCCTGTCCTCCTCCTCCTCCTCCTCCTCCTCCTCCTCCTCATTCCTCCTCCATCCTCCTCCTACCTCCTCCTCCTCCTCCTCCACCTCCTCCTCCTCCTCCTCCTCCTCCTCCTCCCCTCTCTCTGTCCTCCCTCATTCTACACACATGTTCCTCCTCCTCCTCCTCCTCCTACTGCTTCTACTACTTCTACTACTGTAGACTACTTTCTCCTCCACCTCCTCCTCCTTGTCCTCCTCCCTCCTCCTTCTCCTCTGGGGGGTGAGTTAGAAGATACGCGATGGCAACAAGTGGATGGCCGTCGTTTTCTTCTGAGGGTGATTCGGAGGATGTCGGTTTGATTGCAACATTGGTGCCGAGCCTTCGGGCCAATGACAGCACCCCAGCCGACGAAGCCGGTGTTACAGGGTTAGTCTCGGACGTTCGATGTCGTATCGAGTCTAAGGCGAGTGGTCAGACGTGGTCAACGGAATTCAAGGTTGAACGCGCCCAGGGGGGCCCTTCTGGGCCTCGGGGCTCGAAGAAACGGACCCGCGGTGCGAAATCGCGATTCACCTGGGGTCGAGAGTTTCCTGGTGCGCAGGTTGCACAAGATTGAACGGCTCAGGCGGTGTTAGAAACCACTTCCCACTCATTCCTCCACCTGCCTCTCTCCTTGCACCTACCCCTCCACTTCCTTTCGCGTGCTCCCAACACTGCCCCATCGATATCCCTCCGGCCATTCCCTCGCATCCTCATCCCCTCCATCTCTTCGCATTCCCCCTTCGCTTCGCTCATTCCGCCAGCGCGTCTCGCATCGCTGGGGTTGCCTGGTTGTGTGGGTTTGAGGCCACTCGGATGGCTCGTGGGGTCTCGTGGAAGGCTTCTCGGGGGCTTTTTGGAGGCAGGTGTTGGGCCTCATGGAGGCCTCCTGGGGATTTCCTGGGGGCCTCTTGGAGGCCTCTTGGGGCCTCTTTGGGCCCTTGGGGCCCTTATGGGGCGCCAGGCTCGGGTTTTCGGATCGCGTTCCCCGTCTTGGGGCCCTCTTCGGACCGTCCTGGGGGCCTCTTGGGCCTTCTTCGGGGCCCCTTGGGCCATTTTGGGCGCCTCCTGGGGGCCTCTTGGGCCGTCTGGAGGCGATTTTCGGGGCCTCGTGGGCCGTCTGGGAGAGACGAAGCGCCGAAATGTTGAGAAGGCTAAACATGTTCAAAAACAAACGGGAAGGAATGAATTTGGCCTGTCGGGGCCTTGTCGGAAGTGCTGTTGGAGGCGTCTTGGCGGCCTCTTGGGCCAATCGTGGGGCCATCTTGGGCATCGTGGGCCGATCTTTCGAGGACCTGAAGGCCTCTTGGACCGTCTTGGCGTTCCCTTGAGGACGCATTGGGCACCTCTTGGGCCGTCTTGGGGGCCTCCGGCATCTCTGACGGGCACCCGCCGGGGCCTTGCCGGGGACTTGCCGGGGCCTTGGCAGGGTACTTGCCGCGTCGGGGCCCCTAGGGGCCGCCACGCGCGCGCGAACTTGTCATATGGTTATTGTTACCGGGGATCTTAGCCCGTTGAGCCGACGAATAACATTTCTATATCCCCTTACCACTCCTTTCCATTCCTCCAGAAACTCGTCTCCCATTCCGTCCCGTCTCCTCCCGCCCCTTCCTGCCTCCTTTTCCTCCTCCTCCTCCTCCTCCTCCTCCTCCTCCTCCTCCTCCTCCTCCTCCTCCTCCTCGTCCTCATCCTCGTCGTCCTCCTCCTCCTCGTCCACGCTCCTCCACCTACCCTCCCTCCTCCTCCCCTCCTCTCCTCTCCGACTCCCCCTCCTCCTCCTCCCCCCACACCTTCTTTTCTCCTCCTCCTCTCCTCCTCCTCCTGCCGCCACCTCCTTCTTCCTCCTCCTCCTCCCTCCTTCTCCACCTCCCCTCCTCCTACCGCCCACATTTTGCTCAAGGAAACCCATGCTACTCAAGGACCCTACTGCAAACTCACGTGCCCACTACTTTGTGGCGATGGCTGTGACGCTTGAGAGCATGGGTGCTCTTCTTGACACTAAGTTCGAGGCGAACTTGGCACCGATCAGTGCACAGCTTACGAAGTTGGAGGGGCGGCCAGTGCCCGCGACCCCCCCAAGTCAGGAGGCCGTGCAGGCCATGGTGCAGGAAGCGGGCGGGTGTCGCAAAGACATAAGCCGCGCCGACTACCGCAACCTGATCGTGAACGCGCAGAACAAAGGCCGGCGCAACTCTACCCGCCCAGGAGCCCCTGTTCCTTTGGCCACGACTGGAGTCCAAGGAGGGTGGGACCAGACCGCGCAGCACTACTTGGAGGAGGCGGTTCGCAAAGGGCCCACTCCGCGCGGCAAGAGGAAGAGACGAGGGCCCAGCGACTCCAGCGAGGACGACCACGAGCAGACGGAGAAGCAGGAGCGAAAGGAGGCGCTGACCGCGGCGCTGGCAAGGGCGACAGCGGCGGAGGCGAAGGTGGAGTCCTTGACCCGCCGCCTGAAGGAGCTCGAGGGCGTGGACGAGGCTGGTTGGGGGGCACCAACCATACACGGAAACCTAAACAACCCCGGGCGGGAAACGCGAAACGTTTGGAGTTTGGACCACCAGCCAAGCCATGCTGGAACGGGACCCGCAGTGCCTCGCAGGCGCTGCTTTGATAAAGAACACCCTGCCACAAACGCATGTTATCTGTCAAAAATCATAGCGAAAACCTTGAGTTGCTAAGAGACCATCGGCGCGGAGGCGCCAGCAGGAGTGAGCGGTCCTACCGTTCGGCGCGCCACGTGGACTCGTGGTCATTGGAAACCTTGTCGGCCTTGAGCCAGCGTGGCTACGGACGATGATGAGGAGGACGATGATGATGACGATGACGATGATGAACACGATGGCGGTGGCCCCAGTTCCGGCGATGGGATAGGGCATTCGCGCGTATGGTTGGTTCCCCCGACAGTGGAACAAGGGGCTCTTGGAAGAGAACGCCAAGCTGCGCTTGTTCTGGGAGAGCTGCCAAAGCCCCGACTGCCCCCAGTACTCGGACGACTCTGACGACGAGTGAGCGCCCCGTTGGTCCGGTTGGCCCGGTCCTGCGCGTCCTCCTCCTTCCACCTCGCCCCTCCGCTCTCCTCCCTCCCCTCCCCCCCCCTCCCTCCCTCCCTCCCTCCCCCCTCCCCTTCCCCCTCCCTCCCTCCCTCCCTCCCTTCTCCCTCCGTCCTCTTCCCTCCTTCTTCTCTCCTCCCTCCCTTTCTCCTCCCCCCTCCCTCCTCCGTCCTTCTTCCTCTCTCCTCCTTCCCCCCTTCTCCTTCCTCCCTCCCCCCTCCCTCCTCCTTCCTCCCTCCCTCCCTCCAGCCTCATTTCTTTCCTCCGGCCTCCGCCCTCCGCCTTCCTCCTCCTCCACAATTACTCAATGCGAATACTACTCTCCCTCTTCCCCTGATGGCGCCCTGGGAATTTTCGACCCCCCCCGCGTAATGTTTTTTGTGCACACAGGATTCCCGGGAGTTGGGTTTTCGCTTGCGTTTTTGTTCAAAATGCTGCTCTCGCTGAGGCGCCGGCCTCATTTCTGCCCCCGAATCGTTCCGAATCGTGCTCCCGCTGCAGCGTGGGCCTCATTTACGGATCGGCGTTTTGCCTCCGTCGTTCAGGATGGCGTTCTCGCCCCAGCGCGGGCTTCTTTCTCGCGCGCCCATCCGCCCGCCACCACCGCGCCGCACCGCGCCCCGCCCCGCCGCATGCGCGCCCACCGCCACTTCCACCCACCGCGCGCGCGCACGCACGCACGCGCACCACCACCGCGCACCGCCACCACCACCGCACTACCCCACCCACCACCACCACGCTACGCCGCGACACGCCACATCACACGCGCGCGCGCACAGACACACACGCACGCACGCACGCACGCACGCACGCGCGCACGCACGCACGCACGCACGCACGCACGCACACACACACACACACACATACACACGCACACGCATACGCACACACACACACACACAGACACACACACACACACACACACACACCACCACCGCCACCACCACCACCACCACCACCACCACCGCCATCACGCACGTACGCACCTGGCCCACCACCAAACCAGGTTTGCCAAACCACCAAGACGCCACACCACGTCACACCACAACACACGCGCACACACGCACACACACATACACACCACCACCACCACCACCACAACAACCACAACCACGCACACACGCACGCACGCACGCGCACCACCACCCACTACGCACACGCGCGCGGAGCCACAGGTCCGCTACGACACGCGTCCGCGGATAGAGAAAATCAGCGCTATGGTAATTGGAGGGAGGGGTGCGATGTCAGATGTTGACGCGAGCGCACCTAACTTGTCCTCCTCCTCCTCCTCCTCCTCCTCCCTCCGCCTGCTCTCCCCCCTCACCAACGCAATGATTTGCCTCGTCGTGTTTTTCTTGTCCCGATAATTGTTTGTTTGCCCCCCTTGCCCCAATTAAGAAATTAAGTTGTTAAGTCGTTGCCGCCCCCTCCAGAATCGGACCCCTTCCTCCCGAGCCTGTTCCCTCCCTCCACCCGCCCCCTCCTTCCCGAGCCTCTTCCTGCTCTGTCCCTCCCTCCCCCTTGCTCCTCCCGCTCCCCCCTCTGCCACGTAAATATTATTTGCCCGTCGCCCCCCGCCCCCTCCCCTCCCACCTCCTCCTCCTCCTCCCCCGCCTCCTCCTCCTCCTCCTCCTCCTCCTCCTCCTCCTCCTCCTCCTCCTCCTCCTCCTCCTCTTCCCCGCCGTACCTCCCACTTCCTCCTGTCCTGTTGGTCGGGTCCGGCGCGCCCTCCTCTCTCCCCCCTCCTGTCTCCCCCCCCCTTCCTTCCCTCCCTCCCTCCTCCCTCCTTCCCTCCCTCTCCCTCCGCCCTCCTCCCTCCTCCCTTCCTCCCTCCTCTGTCCTCCCTCCTCCCTCCTCCCTCCCTCCTCCCCCCTGTCTCCCCCCTCCTCCTTCCACTTCTTTCTTCCCTCCCGCCCTCTTCCCTCCCTCCCTCCCTCCTGCCTCCTCTTTTCCCGATCATTGTGTGTGTGTGTGTGTGTGTGTGCGTGCGTGCGTGTGTTTGTGTGTGTGTGTTTGTGTGGTGTTTTTATATGTGTCTTGTGTGGCGGTGTGCGTTGTGCGTAGTGCGGTGCGTTGCGTTGTGGTGTCGTGTGTGTGTGTGTGCGTGTTGCGTTTTTTGTGCGTCGTTCGTGTGCGTGTGCGTGTGTGTGCGCGTGAGCGTTGCGTGTGCGTGTGCGTGCGTAGTGTGTGTGTGTGGTGTGTGTGTGTGTGTCTTGGTCCCCTTGCCCCAATTAAAAAATTAAGTTTTTAAACTGTTCCCGCCCCCTCCAGAATCGGATCCCTTCCTCCCGAGCCTGTTCCTTCCCTCCACCCGCTCCCTCTTTCCCGAGCCTTTTCCCGCTCCGCCCCCCCCTCCCTCCCCCTTCCTCCCGCCCCCCCCCCCCCGGGACGCCAGCGTGGCCGGCCGAAAGCGCGGCCGCCACCACAGGAGGAGAAAACGTCATCCTCGTCATCATACGGGCTGCGCTCTCTGACCCGGCCCCTCCCTCACCCTACCTTCGCCGCCGGAGATCGCAAAAGAAAGTGCGAGGACGGAGCCGGGGCCCCCCCGGGGATGCGAGGTTCCCCAGGGTTCCCTGGGGTTTCCTGGAGTTCTTGCTTCAGGCATTCTCCGGTTCGACTTGGCACGGACGAGCTGGACCTGTGGGACCTGCCTGACCTGTGATACCTGTGGGACCTGCCGGACCTGTGGGACCCGTGGGCTCTGCCGGACCTGTGGGACTTGCTGGACTTGTGGGACCCGTGGGGCCTGCCGGACCAGTGATGCTTGTGGGACCTGATGGACCTGTGGGACCAATGAGACTTGCGGGACCTGTGGGACCCGTGGGGCCTGCTGGACTTGTGCGACCTGTGAACACCACCAGTATCGTCGATCTCAGCATCAAGATCACCATCATCACCCCCAACAGCATCATCATCACTGCCATCATCATCGCCGGTGTTATCGTCATCTTCGTAAGCAATACATCACCATCTTTTTGAACATCAGCATCATCGTCGCTGTTCCCATAAGATACGCCCTGTGGCCGCCACGTTACTGATCAAGTCTTGGCCTGCGCACCACGCGCGCCGAGGTTTCGCTACCTACGTCCAGAGCCCGTGCGAATAGCGGATATGGCAAGTGACGCCGGGGTGGACTTCTCTTTCAGAACGTTGATGCACCCGCTACCAACGGCTGCGTTTGAAGTCCTGGCACGCGTCTTGTCGTGCGTGCCGAGGGAGTTGGCCCCGCCATTTGTGAAGGCTTGTTTGCGCCAGAACCACAACGTTGAAGCCAGAGAGAACATTATCAATAGTGTTTTGTGGAAGCTGCGATCGCATGTTGGAGTTGGATGTGCTTACGACTACGACCTGAACAACCCAGTGTTGAAGGAGATGCAAGCTGCGTGCCTAGAATCGGAGACAGTATGTCTCCCATCTACACACGGGTGGTGCCCAGAATGTCAAACAACGGAGCTGGTGAAGCAGACAGGCAGAAGCAGAGGCAGCATTGCGGCAAATTGGAAAGAAGGGAACGCAGATGCCAGGTCGTGCGAGTTTCGTTTCCGAGTGTACACTCTCGGAGCAGGTGTTCAATTCTGCACTTTCCGTGAGGAGCACTGCCCGTCCTGCAAGCATTATTTCATTGGCAATTGGAAATACAAGAAAAATGCAGGCAGCGGCGGTCGTGCAAATTTCGGCAAGATGACTGATATCACCACCGTGGTCACGCAAACTGCTTTGCCATATGTTGTGGTGCCCCGTGAGAAAGCATGGTACGCTGTCGACCTACAGCTGCTGCAGTTCATCACTGATGACTTGCACCATGGCGGCGGCACGTTCACCTCCGCAATCCACGTGTGGGCGGGTAAGCATCCTGAGCAGGCGCAGCAAAACCTCATTCTGGACGAGGATATGACACAGACGTGCCACACGCGTGTGCGTCTGGAGGACGCGTGGTACTTGCACAACGCCATCCGTTTGGCAGGTGCCGGCGCTAGGGGCATTGGGTGGTCGTTCACGCCAGACGGCATAGAAAGCGGCCTTGCGAGCATCGCGGCATGTGTGCGTCAGGCGCACTTAACGCGTGTCGCAGAACACGTGCGGACGTGTCCGAAATGCGTCGGCAAGCTTGTCGTTTTGCTTGATGGCAAGCACGGCGCCCGTCGATTCATTTGCGGCGGTTTGGAGGGGTATGAACCCATGCAGGGTCTGGAACTGGAGCTGCACACAGGCTGCCAACGAAATGCCCCAACGAATCAGTTCTTCTGTAAATGGTGCCGGCCGTCGACCATAGAGCAAGCGCGTATGATCCCCCAGGAGAAGATCTTGGGGATCGCTGCTCCCGGATCGGCGTCCAGCGGCGACTCAGCGCTGCGCTACGTGGTGCGATGTCACGACCCCGACTTGCCCGAGCGGCCCTTCGAGGCGCACTTACCGCGAGCCCAGGTGCACAAGGAACTGTTGGCGGAATTCGAGAAGTCGCTGCTTCGGAACAGAGGGGACCACGGCAACAAGAAGACACGCCCCGCGTGGATGAAGGGGGCCCGGCAACTTTCGCGCTGGCTGACGAAGCAGTCGTCGGCTTGCGGGCCGCCCAGCTCGGTCGGGGCGAGTCGTGGCGCAGACGCCCAGAGAGGAGGCAAGGAGGCTCAGCGCGGACCCGCTGCTAAGGTTCGAGCCCCGACGACTGGCGGGGCAGCGAGCAAGCGGGGCAAGGCTGCGGGCACTTCGCGCCGAGTAAGAAGAGCTGGCGTCGGCAGAGGCCCGGCCGCCACAGCGCCGAGGCAGTCAGCTCACGCCAAGTCGACGAAGCGGCCGGCGGCGGCCGACGTGAGCAGCGACGCCAGCAAGTTCCGCTCATTGAGTAGCCGCTGCAGGGGGTGGCTAGCCCTGGACGACAAGCAGGAGGAATCCATCCAGGCGTGCGGCGTTGACAAACTCCACGGAAGCAACAGAGTCAGACGTTGCACTGGCGGCGTCGTGACAGCAGTGACATCGTGCGGCTTGTTGGTGGACTGGATGGA